TCATAATCAATCCCGAAATTGCACTTCAAAGAGAAACACCATTCCCTCTTTTCTTGTGTCTCCTCTCAAATCTGATAGTGAAGAACAGTTTTTTTCTTTAAACATATCTGTAGATAAGATTTTTTAATAAAACACTAAATGACATAGCTTCAATAGCCCTCTCCCTGAAACAAGTTCTAAAAGTAAATGATCCACAATGCTAAAACTAGTACATCAGCCCCGAGAAACTAATGAGCTTATCAAATGAGTTCTAAGCCAAGCAATCTCCAAATCCTTTATCTTCTACCTTAAAATATCTTGAGCTAAAAATGTGATTTCCAGATCATTAATTTTTAATCCTCATATTTTATCAGTATAATAAATGATTTAGGAAGCTTTGAGAAGTTAATATAATTTCTTAAATTATAGTTTAGAAATTATAGAACTACTGTCTCAAATTTAGCTTTAGTAAGATTTTCTTTAGAATAAATATATACTTTATCTGTACCAGCCTAAATTAGAACACAATACAAAGATTCAAACATAACTTAAATGTGCAATGTAATGTAAGAACTTAAATGATATTGTGGATAACTAGAAAGAAGTTATCCTTAGGATCAGACAGATCTTGGTTTGAAACGCAACTCTTCATTTATTGGCTATGCGATATTGGGCAATTTTTAATTATTTCTGAGCCTGAGTTTCCATATCTGAAAAATAGGGATAAAATTTAACTTGCACACTGTGAATATTAAATGGGTGAATATTTAAGAAAATGTTTATATACTGCTTGTCTCATAACTGACAGTAGTCTATTATTAATATTATTATATTGGTAATGCATAAGGATGTGTAAATCTTCCTTTTCTGGTAATTGTAGGCAAAAATAAAAGACTTTTATCTTTGCATGGGGACTGTACCACAGTTAAAATTATAAGGTATATAGTTCTTTATAAAGTGAATTTAGATATATTGCTGTTCAAGTTGTGTCTTCTAATATGTAGCAACTCTGAAGAGATAGATACAGGCTCATAAGTACCCCCATAAGGCAAGTGTCAGTTCTGTCAGCCCCGACTCCTGCCTCAAAAAGAAGTTTTTGTTTTGTTATTTTTACAAAAACTCTTTTAGATGTAAAAGAGCAAAAGTTCTTTACACAAATAAATCTTTTTACTTGGTTAGTATGCAAATATTTATTTTACTTTGCTTAAAGAATGCATATTTGGAAGATATTTGAACATTACCCATAGTAAACATATTAACATAACACCCAAACTCTCCCTATTACTAATTTAATTATAGTTCATTTAGGCATGTAAAATGTACAGAAAATCATTAACTCTATGTTAGAATGCAGAGAGAGGTCACAAGTATACCATGAAAAGGAATTATTTAAAATCTAAGATTTTCTATAATGTTTATCATTAAAATTCACTATCAGTAGTTTTCCTTACTTTGTCCTGTGGATTATTTCTTTTTCATTAAATTTTATTTCAAAACCAAGAAAGACGATAGTAAAATCAAATAGTATTTAAAGTACAAGATACTCTAGGCAGTAGTACTTCATTTTCTAGCATTCTCCTTGGAAGATTAAAAAATATATATTCTTTTGTCTTTATTTGATGATATATGAAGCCTTAGTTTTATGTTCCACTGTTGTTCTATATGCCTGAAACTAATTTATTTATTTATTTATTTATTTATTTATTTATTTATTTATTATTTAGCTGAGCCATCCTGCCACCTGTTGGCAGCTCAGTGGCAGCTCAGTTCGGGCCGGGCATTGAATCACTGTTGCTCAGAGCGCGCACTCTTGAGCAAGCTCTTAACCAACTGAGCCACCCAGCCAGTTCCCCTGCCTGAAACTAATTTAAAAAAGAAAAATAGACACATTTTTTAAAAATTCAAAAAACATTATATTCTCTATCTAATTTTTATTTGGGGCATAAATAAGAATATTTTTAATCTTTAGATATACATCTAGACCTAGGACTTGATCTTGATATTGACTTAAAATACTTGGTAGCATGCTTTCACTAAGATGAGCAGAACTCTGATGTATGTATCTGCACACACATCAACATTAACTCCAGATAGTTTTTGTAATACAACATTAAGGTTATAACAAGAAAGCTGAGGAAAAGGGGGGGTGTTAATGAGTCTTTTTTATATATAACAAATAGCCTTTTGTGGTAATACCAAAAAGGAAAAAAAAATGCACACATTCCTGACAGACCTACAAACACTGAAAACTAGGATCAATCTTCACATTTGAAACACTTCAATATGTTCCGTTTTAATCTCTAACAGCTTTTCTGCTTATGTTAAATCAAATACATCATAGATACCACAAATTCAATATATTATGGAAAATGTGCCTTTATCACAATTACCTACCCGAAAGGAATCCTGTACCAGCATGTACCAATACTTAGTGAGTGACTTGCAAATGATTATACCAGATTTCATAACATATTAGCCAGCACTTTATAATTGTTTATTTATTATTAGTAGCTTATAATTGTTATTTTAAATGGAAATATACTTATACATAATATGAAAGTAAATCTTGGGTAGAAATACAAATGTAATTTCTTTAAGAAACATCAAGATATTATCTAGGATGGGTAATTCATAATAACATATGTTTCTATGTTTTAAAAAATACACCTTATTAAAAGAATTCTGTCTTTAATGCAGAAAGTTGACCTCTATATTTAATAAAAATCACTCACAAATTCCATGAATCTTATAAAGCAAATGAAAAACAGAAACATTGCAACATAACACTATTAACATTAAACAATAAATATCAACATGAAAACAATAAATAAACACTTTAATACCATATTAAAAACTGGTTGGAAGACTGTCAACCTTCATTTACCCACTGCTCCCATTGGAAACCTCAAAGCTTTAACAATTGCTGTGTAAGCCTTCCATCACCCTCAAACCAACTTAACACATCAACCTTCACATCTAAGAGGTTGTCCATTTATGTATACATTATGTGAATGTCTTATCATTTTGAACTTATTAACCTCTTTTCAGACACTTTTTGCCCAGCATGGTGTAACAACACACACACACACACACTCCAAACACACTCCAAACAAAAAACATCAGGATCAATTTCTCTTGATCCTACTGCTACTTAAATAGCAATTGCATATTATTGTTTTTTTCTAGGTCTTGTTGTATTTCATTAAATCTCACATGTGATTGTTACTTGTTGCTTTCACTTTTGTTTCAAACATAATATGTATACCACCGTGAAGTTAGTCAAATGCTTGGTACCTTTCTGCTGCCAGGCATCTAGCTCAGAAGTGCCAATATTTTACTGAGGTAAGACCCTCAAAAGAAGCCTCACTGCAGCCAAATCCTAATTACTAATTATTTTCACTCTCCTTGTTTCTATGTCAAGTTACTCTCAGCTGCAATATAGAAGTACCCTTCAAACTAACTCATTCTGAGGAACTCCTTCCTGTTGACTCAGTTCCTGACCCCAGATTTCCCTTTTTCAGCTTTCATTGCTCACACCAGGTATGGAAAATGACACGTGCTTTTCCTGGTGTTTAACGTCTGTTCATAGTCTACTTTTAAATTTGCTACTTCTACATTCCTTCTAACATCTAATATGAATCAAGACGGAGAAGTAATAGCAATTGCAACACTTACAAGCTTTTGTAAACCTTGTTGTCCACTCCTCAAATGCCTTTCTCACTCTTTTCTGCTTATCCAGGCCTTTTCTATCCTTCAAGGCTAAGCTCACCTATATTCTTTCTGTGTTCTTCGAAAACTGTAGTGTATTTGTTCTGTTGCTTTCACTGATCATGCCAGCCCTAAATGTGATGATGATGGTGATGATGATGACGACAGTGGTGGTTGCTGGTTATGGTGCTGGTGCTGCTGGTGCCTATGATAAATAGTATTTAATGGTGATTTCCTGTTACATTTGAAAACACCTTTTTGGAATTGGCATTCTTTTACAGACTAAAGGAGTTGCGCATTAGGGAAGTTGACTAAATTTCTTAAAGTCACTTAATTAAATGTTGGGACTGAAATTAAACTTTTATTTGAGTAAAAAGACTAAGTTCTTAGTAATTACACCACACTGCCTCCCGTCAAATTTTATTAATTTTTACAATTATGCAATATTTAATAATAGTCTTGACATCTCGCGATTTTGTCATTTATTGTTATTGAATACATACAGATACTTTTAGCAAGTGTTTATAAGGTACTGGAAAAAAACCACCTGACCTTATCGTATTTCATTTTATATTTAGCTTACATTAGTTTGATAGGACTGCAATAATAAAATGCCACAGGCTTGGTAACTTCAACGACATAAATTTATTTTCTCACAATCCTGGAAGGTAGAAATCCAAGATAAAATAAATTTTAGAGTCCTAAATGAAAGTGATTCCAATTGTGATGCCATTACCATTTATTATAATTAAATAGCAAGATTTTAAAGGATATTATTCTAATATTAATAACAGATATACCTTTATATGCTTTGGATTAAATGGAAACAGTCTAGGCTCTTGTTTTATATAATCCATATATATTTCCTTTCAAATAACAATTTTAGTCATTTAAAACAGCATAACATCTTGAAATATTATCACATGTGATATATTGCAATACTCATTTAACACAAAGGGGTGCATCATTTTTTCAGAGAAAATTCTCTACCTACTGTAGGTTTAGAATATTGGCTTAATTAATGCCACTCAGAATCATAATATGATCTGCACGACTGCAAGTTTCTCAATATTTACCAGAGTTCTCATAGCAAGAGGAAACTTTGTGACTAGTTTTTGAGATTTAATTCATCTACCTCCAAGACTCGAAATATAGTAAAGTTCAAACTGCAGTAGTATTAAAATAGGTGCATAAATTAATACATTCATCAGACATTTACTGAATGCCATCTATTTGCCAGGAAAAGCACATGGATCAAACTTTAACACCTCTCTAAAAGAGAGTCAAGTATAAAAATTTTTTTTCCCCCCCAGCATACGCCCTCTCCAGCGAAGCTTGGCAATCCGGTTCAATAAGGAGGTGTTTTTCACCAGACCAGATATAAAGAACAGACTCATCACCGATCGTATATGGGATCCGACCTGGGGGATCTCTGGTGTCTCAAACCAGATGCTAACCAACGCGACACTCGTCAGGCACAAGTATAAATTTTTTTTTAATTGGGGAATTGGGGGAGGAAAATAATGTTGAGTAATTGGGGAGGGGGACCAGCCAAGTTGTTGTTCTTCAATCTTCATTGTGGAGGGCGCCAGTCAGCATCTGGCTTCCCGTCAGCAGCTCGTGGCATCTAAACTCAAGGTGCTGTCTTCAATCTTAGTTGCAGGTGGGTGTAGCCACCATCCCATGCGGGAGTCAAACTAGCAGCCTTGTTGTTAGAGTGCATGCTCTATCCACTGAGCTATCCGGGTCAGTGCAAGATGCTGAGTTCAGTCTTAGTTGAGGGCAGGCATAGCCCACCATGAAACAGGCAGTTTTGTTGTTAGGAGCACATGCTCTCACCAGCTGAGCCATTCTGCCACCTGCGGGCAGCTCAGCAGCAGCTCAGCTCAGGCACAGCATCACTGACCCATGTAGGAATCGACCCAGTGGTCCTGTTGCTCAGAGCTCACACTCTTAAGCCAACTCTTTACCAACTGAGCCACTTGGCCGGCCCTAAAAATTTTATTTAAACACTAAAGTCATCCTCTGGATTACAGAAAGAAATGTTTCATTTCGTCAAGCAACAAACAGAAATTAATTTTTCTGTGCAGCTCTATATTCCCTCAGTAAGAAAATAATATTTTCAGGCTGGCTGAGTGGCATGATGACTAAAAGTTGGCTTGGGACACAAGCTCTGAGCAGCAGGGCCCCGGTTCAGATCCCACATGAGGGCCAGTGACACTGCCCTCCACAGCTAAGATGGTGAACAACAGCTTGACCTGGGCTGGGCTGCTGTGAGTCACCAGCGATGGCATAGGTTGCAGTGGGCTGCCGTGAACTACCGTGAGTGGACGACAGCCAGCGTGAGCTGCCATGAGCCACCGTGAGTGGCCATCCAATGGCTGGCGAGCAACTACCTCACCCGGGAAGAGCGCAATGATAATCCCAACATGGGCCAGTGAAGCGACATCCTCCACAACTAGACTGAAGAACAAAAGGACAGCAGCTTGTCTGTTCCCCTTTCCTGATTACCCATATAATGAGTTTTGAGAACCTAGGAAGTGCCATTAGAGAAAGCCTGAGTTTTCATTTAATGTCCCATAGCTGACTTGAAAAATGGAGCAATAGAAAACCAGAAAAAATATTATGAAGCTACTTGAGAACAGAAATGCCTAAATACTAAATTATGCACTCTATATTATCACCATGTGGTTCTGGGCCTTTATAAGATTTTAACTACGGTAAAGGGCACACTCTCTAATATAACTGTATTCAGATTTTTCACTTCATACATGGAGGTTTTTCTGAAGTTCCCCAAGAATATTTTTACAGAGTATGTATATTTTAATTTATATTGCTCAATAGCCTTCCAAAGAGGCTGTTAAAATGAACAATCTCATCAATATAAAGCCTTCTATTCTCTTCCAAAGCATAATTGTTACAAAATAGTTTTGCAGCAAAAGCAATCACAAAGGTTTATTTTTCTGATATCTGTTTTACTGCTACTCAGAAAAACACAGGGATCTCAAACATTCTCTTCAAAATTAAATCAATTCAGACAACAGTAGCTTCTGTGATGTCAACATGAAGGTGGATTAAGAAGCTCCAGGCCCTTGTTCCCCCATGGAAATATCAAGTAAACAACTACAGACTTCGTGGGAACTCTGGAAACAAGTTACAGATATACAACAACCAAGTAAATGCCCAACCAAGAAAAAGTTATATTCGAATCAATAGGAAATTTCATGGCATTTATGCTTGATCTTGTACCACCCCCTTCTCAGGGTGGCATGGCATACTTGGAAGAAGGTGACATATTTTTTTATTTCCTCCTCAAGATACAAGGAAAAGAGTGGAACTTGTTTGCAACACTCTGGTCTCTCTGTAGGTTAACCAAGAAACTGATTTCAGTACAGTAGTCCCCCTTATCCACAGTTTTGCTTTTTTTTTTTTTAGAGTTTACTATTGGGGGAGGGTAACAGTGCTGGGGAATTGGGGGAGGGTAACAGTGCTGGGGAATTGGGGGAGGGGAACAGACAAGTTGCTGTCATTTTTGTTCTTCAGTCTAGTTGTGGAGGACGTCGCTTCACTGGCCCATGTTGGTATTATAATTGCGCTCTTCCCGGGTGAGGCAGTCGCTCGCTGGCCATTGGATGGTTGCTCTCGGTGGCTCAGGGCAGCTCACGAAAGCTCACACCCGCTGCTGGCCAGCCACACTGCAGCCTAGACTGTCGCCAGCGACTCACGGCAGCCCAGCTCCAGGTTGAGCTGTTGTTCACCATCTTAGCTGTAGAAAACGCAGTGTCACTTGCCCTCATGTGGGATCCAAACCAGGGCCCTGCTGCTCAGAGGTGGCGTCCCAAGCCAACTCCTAACCAACACGGCACTTGGCAGGCCCTCCACAGTTTTGCTGTATGTAGTTTCAGTTACCTGCAGTCAGCGGCAGTCCAAAAATACTAAATGGAAAATTCCAAACATAACTCAAAATTTTAAATCGCACCTCACTCTGAGTAGTGTGATAAAATCTCATGCCATTCCACTCCAGTATGTTAATTGTCCTTTTGTCTAGTGTATCCACATTGTATGCACTAGCCTCCTGTTAGTCACTTAGCCATTTCAGTTATCAGATTGACTGTTGTGGTATTGCAGTACTTATTCAAGGTACCCTTATTTTAATTCATAATGGCCTCAAAGTGCAAGAGTAGTGATGCTGGCAATTCAGACATGCCAAAGAGAAGCCACATAGTGCTTTCTTTAAGTAAAAATGTGAAAATTCTCATCATAAGGAAAGAAAAAAATTGTATGCTGAAGTTGCTAAGATCTATACTATAGTAAGAACAAATCTTCAAATGAAATTGCTAAAGAAGGAAACAGAAATTCATTCTAGTTTGCTGTAGTACCTGAAAATACGAAAGTTAAAGCCATGGTGCATGATAACTGCTTAGTTAGGATGCAAAAGGCGTTCAATTTGTGTATAGAAGACATGAACAAAAAAATGTGTTCTGATTGACAGCAACCTATTAGGGCAGGAAGCATTGAGCCTATACAAAGAATTCGGCAGGAGATCCCCTGAAATAAGTGGTACCAAGCCATTTGCTGTAAGTAAGTGATGGCTATGCATATTGAGGAACAGGTTTGGCATTTTATCATTTCACATCATCACAAGAAGAAACATGGGTGCAGTGCTATAAGATATTTCGGGGGAGAGAGAGAGCCCATATTCATATAACAGTGTACTGTTGTAATTGTTCTAATTTACTATTAATTGTTTATCTACTGGGCCTAATTTATAAATTAAACTTTATGTATTAAACTATATGTATGTATGTATAGGAAAAATAGTATATATAGGGTTTGGTACTATTCACAGCTTCATACATCCACTGAGAGTCTTGGAAGGTACCCGTATAAATAAGGGGGGTGGACTATTATTATACATAACTCAAAGCTCAGAAGAGAATGGCAGTATAGTTTATATCTCAGGTCTCCCAACCACAGAAGGTAGTGGCAGACACCAAAGCATATGAAAATTGCAGAGTGACGGCACAGTTGTGGATACCTGAGGGCAAGAGATTATGGGAAAAGTAATGCAGTAGAATATCTAAGACACCAAAAAGAAGTAGGGATGACGTTTAAATAAATTAAGACATGTATAAGCAGCCATGTATATGACAGACTGGGGTAAAAACACCATGCATGCCCAGATAAGTCCTGAGAAGGCCTCAAACCTTCATGCTGAGCTGATTAGTCAAAGATTTCTCCCACATAGAGCCATTATGCAAAAATTAGGGAAAGTAGCTGTTTTTCTAAATGCCTAACTTTAACAAAAGATCACAAGGCATACACAGAAGCATGGAAATATGGCTCTTTTCAAAAGCAATAAAATAAATATCCAGAAATTGACCCTAATGAACAATAGGTTTCAGAGTTTCTAGATTTACTTCCAAAGAGAACAGTATGGGAAATGGGACAAAGAGTGCCTTTACAGTGAAGAAACTTGACAAACACTACCTAAGCCAGGTAATCAAGAGTTTTCCATAATAATTTCATAGTACCTGATGTATAAGTACCACTTAGTATATTTCTTGAATAAATGCTAAGATAATACATTTAAAGATCTATATTGATATTCACCTGCATATTTCTTTGAGACCCTCTACTAGAATATAAGGTCATTGAGAGTAGAGACTGTGTTTTACTGAACTCATCTGCATTTGGATGATAGTTAATGTCATGGGAGTGAATGAAACTCAGAAAGCAAAGAGAGAGCTAAAGATAATATCTTCAATATCCTGACATTTAGGAAGTTGGGAGAGGAAGAGAGGCCAGTGAGAAGACAAAAAGAAAAAAACCTATGTCATGTAAATCAAGGGAGGTGACAGATTCAAATGGGAGGACATAAAAACATCATCAAGATAATGGGTCCTGAATCCAAGAAGAGAGACTTGTATATATGTGTGCATACACCTTCCATATTATCATAAAGATATATATATATATATATATTTTTAAAGACTTTTATTGGGGAATTGGGGGGATGGGAACAGTGCTGGGGAATTGGGGGAAGGGGAACAGACAAGTTGCTGTCATTTTGTTCTTCAGTCTAGTTGTGGAGGACGTTGCTTCACTGGCCCATATTGGTCCATCATTGCGCTCTTCCCGGGTGAGGCAGATCGGTCACTGGCTTCTGGATGGCCGCTCACCGCGGCTGCTGGCCGCTCAAGCTGGCTGCTGGCTACACACGGTAGCCCATGGCAACCCACTGCCGCAGGGGCTGCAGCCTATGCCGTTGCCGGTGACACGGTAGCCCAGCTCCAGGTTGAGCTGTTGTTCAGCATCTTAGCTGTGGAGGGCAGTGTCACTGGCCCTCATATGTGGGATCCGAACCGGGGCCCTCTGACATCCCAAGCCAGCTCTTAACCATCGCGCCACTCAGCCGGCCCAAGATATTTTTTATAAAACTTATTGATTAGTAAAATTATATAGGTTTCAAGTGTACATT